AACCAAAGGTGAAATCTGTATAAGTACACTTCTGATATATTCTAGTGAGTCGTTATAACCATACTAATATGACGGAGTGCATGTTATGACGTTCTTCAGGCGTCGGTTTGTTCAAGACATTTATCACCCTAGACTGGCCGGTCTAGCTATAGCGAACAGCGAAGGTGCGGGGTGTCAACCCCGTATAGATCTATACACAAATTCTCGTTCCCCCTCCAGAAGACTCTGGTTATAACTATTACAGGACTTTAGGCGTACACTATTGTATATAATATATGTACTGTGAAGATTTGTCTGACTAGAATACTAACAGTTTCGAGTAAATTATTGAGATCCATTATTTACTAAATAAATAATAATAGTTGTACTTGTTGTCTAAATATTCCGTTTCGTTTCGTTTGTTGAAAATAACCCGCTTTAAATGTTTATCAAATCTATTCAGTAGTAGCAAAGTCAGATAAAATGGCTTTCCTCTTTATACATTACTAAGTGAGATCCCATTTACCGGAAAATGTCAAGTTATGATTTGTGTAAAACTATGCCTTGTGTGAAGTTATGACAACAGCTTTATGACATGCAAAATTTTCTGTCATAAAGTTTCTATTTGCATATATTTCTTGGTGAACTTACTTATATCAAATTTTTATAAATGACACCTTTACAGTTTGCAAATAATCATTTATGGAACACAAAGTTCCAATTCCGAAATTCTAGACTTAGTGTCAACATTTCAAGGTCTATTTCAGCAACTTTTATTTCTAGTTATGAAAAGCATGGATACAAGGGTGCATGTTGAACACTCCCCAAAACTTGGGAGGCTCCTTTTGTAAATTTTGTTGTTCATGTAGTGATTAAAATATTATTTGTTTTCATGGGTTCTGTGAAACCTCACGTCCACAGGGAGTTGCAAAAAAAAATATAATAATATTTCAACACACATAGCAAACACACGTATACATGCAATCATTCAAGAATTTAGAACAAGAGATGACTTGTACTCTCCCCCAAAATCAATAAAAGCTTAGGAAAAAGGTGGGGTATGAAGCTCACCTTGGTTTAGTTTGCTGGAGATTTAAAGAGGTGTAAGGAGCTTTCAAGTTCCAACACTTGAAAGGTTCTTTGAACTTTAGGAAGTCATATGAATAGTTTTATATGTAAATATAGTGAAATCTTAGGAATGATGTGGAAAATCACTATTCAAAGAAGATGAACACTTACCAAAGAATTCTGGAAAATTTCCTTGAAGGTAAGAACTTGGAGCTTGAAGGAGTTGAGAGCACTTCTCACGAGCTTGATGGAGGTGAAAGTGAGAAGTGGAATAAAGGGGGAAGAAAGAGTTCACGTATTCTAGATGGAGGGATAAGGAGTGACTTGACACTTGCTTGGAGGGCTGGTGGGTAAAGCTTATTTTCTAAGGATAATGTGTGTTTAACTGGGATTTGCATGGGAAATGAGGAATCAACATCCCATCATAAAGTCAAACCCCTTCCTCTTCTAAAAATCTCTTTAAAATCTTGGGTATTATTTTATATATAAATATATTAAAATAATTGATTTTGGCATAAAATAGTGATTTAAGGGGTCTAAGATAGGAAAAATATGAGATTGGTGTGATTTCCGGCGTCAAAATGCCTTATAATGGTGAAAAGGTCCGAAAATGATGAAAATCCGGAGTGGGATGTTGTTCCTGCGAGGGTCCGAAGGGTTTAGGAGGTTTCCGGAGTCATCTTCTAAGTTCCATAGCAAGGAGTGCAATTTCCGAAGTCAACAGTAGAATCCGGAGCATGTCCCTTGGAACCGGAGTCAGGAGTGAAGCCAGCAGGTCCGGACCGAGGATTCTGAAGCGGGTCTATTCCGGAGTGAAGCGAGGTCCGAAGCAAGCATTGACCCTTCCGGAGCATGTAAGATCCGAAGATGCACTCCTCTTGGTTCCGGACCAAGAGGGTTCCGGAGCAAGAGGTTCCGGACCAAGAGGGTTCCGGACCAAGAGGGTTCCGGACCAAGAGGTTCCGGACCAAAATGTTCCTATTGGGTTTTCTTCTCCGGTTTTGGGTTGTTTTCGACTGAGGAACGTATGTAGAGAGATTTGGGAGAGATTTCACATACTTGGAGAGATTTGGGAGAGATTTCACATACTTGGAGAGATTTCTCATACTTGGAGAGATTTGGGAGAGATTTCATATTCTTTTGGAGAGATTTGGAAGAGATTTCATATTCTTGGAGAGATTTGGGAAAGGACTTCATATTCTTGGAGAGATTTGGGAGAGATTTCATATCCTTGGAGAGATTTGGGAAAAGACTTCATATTTTTGGAGAGATTTGGGAAAGGACTTCATATTCTTGGAGAGATTCGGGAGAGAGAGATACAGTGGGAGAGATTGAGAGAGACTTTGCCGGGAGTCCTTATTAATGCTTTTTTTCGTAGAGTAAGGGCCTTAGACTTAGTTACATCCCATTTTAAGTGTTATACACCCCCGAAGGGCACTTAATAATGTTTTATAGAGTTGTTACTTCCCTAAATCAGATTAGGGTTTTAAATTTTGAACTTTTGAGACTTTCAAGTGTTACTTTGCATTAAGATTTAGAGTCATACATTAGCAAACATAAGTAACCCTAACAAATAAACACTAGATGAGTTGACCAGATGACCCGCTGACCTTGACTTGACTTTGACTTGACCAGAAACTTGCCGGTTGTCACATCATCCCCCGCTTGAGGGAATTTCGACCCGAAATTTTTGCTTTGAAGTAGCCTTCAAGGGTTTGCGAATAGATGGGGATACTTCTGCAGCATTTGATCTTCACGTTCCCAGGTGAATTCAGGTCCGCGTTTGGCACTCCAACGAACCTTTACAATTGGGATGCGACTGTGCTTAGTACGTTTCACCTCTCTGTCCATGATTTCAACTGGCTCTTCCACGAACAAGAGATTCTCGTTTACCTTGATCTCTTCCAGCGGAATTACAAGGGTTTCATCCGATAAACACTTTTTTTCAAATTCGATACATGAAATACGGGATGCACGTTGCTGAGTTCTGAGGGCAGCTGCAGCTTATAGGCCACGGGACCAATTCGGTCAAGAATCTCGAATGGTCTGATGTATCGCGGGTTTAACTTTCCTCGTTTCCCGAAGCGGGTCGTCCCTTTCCAGGGAGAGACTTTTAGTAGCACGCGGTCTCCCACTTGGAACTCCAGCGGCTTTCGTCTTTTGTGTGCGTAACTTTTCTGTCTATCCCGGGACGCTTGAAGTCGTGACCTAATTTGAACGATTTTCTCAGTTGTTTCTCGGATGATCTCGGGTCCTGTGAGGGTGTTATCCGGTAATTGCCCCCGTGCGAGCTGGGGTGTCACCCACCTCGGCCCAACAAAGGGGCGATCTGCACTTCCGACCATACAAGGCCTCGAAGGGGGCGACTCCTATGCTTGTGTGGTAGCTGTTGTTGTATGAAAATTTGACTAGGGGCAAGTGGGTATCCCCGGCTTTGCCAAAATCTATCACACATGCTCGGAGCATGTCTTCTAGAGTCTGAATAGTTCGCTCGCTTTGGCCATCAGTCTGCGGGTGGTAGGCAGTGCTCATATCCAATCGGGTTCCCAATGCTTTCTGGAGCGACTGCCAAAAACGAGAGGTGAATCTACTATCCCGATCCGAGATAATAGATATGGGGACTCCATGCAGTCTCACCACCTCTTTCAGGTATACCCGTGTGAGCCTTTCCATTTTGTACGTCTCCTTTATTGGCAGGAAATGGGCGGATTTTGTTAGTCGATCAACGATTACCCAGATAACATCCAGACCGTCTGTCGTCTTGGGTAATTTGGTTATAAAATCCATTGTTATCCTCTCCCATTTCCACTCGGGTATTTCGGGTTGCTAAAGTAGACCCGAGGGCTTCTGATACTCCACTTTAACCTTGGCACAGGTGAGACACTTGCCTACGTAAGTGGCAATCTCGGCTTTCATGTTCGGCCACTAATAATGTTGTTTGATATCCAGGTATACCTTAACAAGATGCTATTTTTGAACAAAAGATATTCACCATGTAAAGCTACTTCTGAAAAAAGAGAGTCATCAATGTATAGCAATCTGGGCAGAAGTTATATACATTTATAATATTAATAGTATTGCATTTTTTTAGTTCAAATATGATGGACTGAAAATATTCACATAACACCAATAATCACAAGTCAAGTTTATAGGAAACCAGATGGGTTTAGCTAGGCATGCAGGCTGTAATAATAACAAAGTTATGACTTGATTATATGATGATCATTACCATCATCATGACGATCATCTTCCATGCCACCTCATGAAAACTCTGATCTTTAGCTTTTTTTAATACTCTCTTCCCTACTTTAATGGACTAAAAGGAAAGGCATTGCTATAACTTTGATCTAATTATATATCACCCGTTCATACTCGCAATGAAAAGATTTAAACAAATCGACTAGCGAACAGATTTAAATTGAATGGTAGAGCAGAGAAGAGCATGCATGCATGCATGTGGATCGAAATGTTGGGCAAGTCTGTCTCCAAAAGAGTCTTATATTCCATTCATAAGTAATTACCAACAGACCAGTCCCATCCTCGACATCTTTTCTGTTGGTTGATAGAACGAATAAAATTATGCATCTAACGGTGTGAAGACCAGACAGGTGGCCGACATCCAACCAATAAAATCCTTCAAGGGGCATGACTCATGAGTGATATATATTTTCATGTCAATGAAGAAAGCTAGTGGGAGAAATCATGATGAGGATTGCATAGAAAAAATCTTTTCTTGCTTCCTTTTGATAATCTTCTAATTTCTCTCACCTCTCTTTTCCCCACTTTCATGTCTCTGTCAAACTTACACTCTCTCTTTTCTTACATTATTCGTTGACTAAAACCATTCCTTTCTATCAACGGAGGTGAGATATTGATTCAACTTCCAATATTTATGTGTCACAAGACCACTAACAACAATCAATGCAAGCTCCTGTTTTTATGGTCATCATTACATGCAGAAATCTCTCATGAACGCATCATCAACTACAATTTTCTGCGTGTATGGCTTAGTGGCCACAAAGGTGAAGATAAAGCTGAGTAGTTCATATATGTAAACAATACCTCAAAGTGGTTGATGCCAGCACTACTGTACGTTTGTTTCGTGGAGCTTCCGTGGATGACTAAATTTGCAGCCTTTCGGACCATAAAAGTTTCCTTCTTGATTGCAACCAACCAATTATACCCTTAATTAAGTTTGTTTTTCCAGGTGAACATCATTCTTTCATATTTCCAAAAAGAAAAGAAGTTGTAAATCAAAATGATGATTACATGTTTTCATGTTCATTATTAGCCAGTTGTCACTTAGGAATCTCAGCTGGATATATATATGCTAGACTGACTTTTTATATGATTTATCATTTAACCAGAACCCTGAAGAGCTAGCTTATACTGATCATCTATATCTATAATATATATACAGAAATATCAAGAGGAAAGATGAAGTTTATGCGACTTGGGACAAGGCCAGACAACTTTTATACAGAAGAAGCCATCCGGTAATTAGCAACACCATTCAATATACATGACTATTCTAATATTATTGTTCTGCAAGTATCTGATGTTTAACAAACTGCAGGACTGTAGTTTCAGACTTACCAAGTGATCTAACCATACGTGTCAACAACATCACCTATCTTCTCCATAAGGTACGATCTATTGATTAAATGCATATTTATGTATACATCAGTAGTTTAGTACATAGTCTTTATAATATAACAGAAAATTACATGGAATATTGTTGTATCCCTAGTTGCAGTTTCCACTTGTTCCAAAGTGCGGCCTCTTACAGAGACTTTGCTCTAATAGGGGGGATTCCAGCAGACTGACACTGGAGCTTCATGATATCCCTGGAGGTGAAGATGCTTTTGAGCTGTGCGCTAAGTTTTGCTATGGGATCACTATTGATCTCAGTGCCCATAACTTTGTGTCAGCAATATGCGCTGCTAAGTTCCTGCAGATGACAGAATCTATTGAGAAAGGAAACTTTGTCTCAAAGCTAGAGATGTTCTTCCACTCATGCATCCTTGAAGGGTGGAAAGATTCAATTGTCACACTGCAAACAACTGGAAAGCTGCCTGAATGGTCTGAAAATCTTGGGATTATCAGAAAATGCATGGATTCTATTGTCGAGAAAATACTCACTCCACCCACCAAGGTTAGATGGTCATACACTTACACGAGAGATGGGTATGCAAAAAAGAAGCATCATCAATCGGCACCTAAAGATTGGTGGACAGAAGATATAGCAAATCTTGATATAGACCTATTCAGATGCGTACTTAATACCGTGAAATTAACTAACATGTTGCCACCACAACTTATTGGTGAATCTTTGCATGTTTATGCATCACTTTGGCTTACAAGGAGTACACCCGACCCTGAAACCTCAGTAGAATCTTCAAGCAAAAAAAGACTACTTGAGACTATCATTAGCATGATTCCAGAAGATAGAGGATCTGTTTCTGTTGGATTCCTGTTGAAACTCCTTAATTTAGCAAGTATTTTAAAGGCATCACCAGTGATCAAGACACAACTAATTAAGCAATCTAGTTTGCAATTAGAGGATGCGACACCAAGCGATTTGTTGTTACTTTCATCCGGATCTTCTGATGATAATAATAATAATAATCACATCCATGATATTGACTTGGTTAAAGCTGTTGTGGAGAGTTTTATCATGCGATGGAGACGAAAATCATATTCTAGACAAGATTTGATTATAAAAGTTGGAGAACTTATCGACTCTTATCTTCAAATAGTTGCAAGGGATGTGAATATGCCAGTACAGAAAGTACTGTCGCTTGCAAAAGCTTTACCTGAATTTGCTCGCCCTGAGCATGACAATCTGTACAAAGCAATCGACGTCTATCTACAGGTATGAATAGAATAAAAAAATAAAGTCATGACTTCTTGTGTTTCTTGACTAGATAGTTTTGAATGATGATGAACATACAGGAACATCCTCAAACGAGCAAGGAAGAGAAGAAGCAGCTCTGCAGTATTATAGATTGCCAAAAACTGTCCCCAGGAGTTTGTGCTCACGTTGTGAAAAACGAAAGACTTCCAGTGAGAACGGTGATGCAAGTCCTCTTCTTTGAGCAAGAGAGAAGTGGCAGCAAGGCAACAACAAGACAAGATTTTCAACATTCTGTAACACAATCCAAAACTCAACAATATGACAGACGAAAAACAATTTCTGAGGATCACCTGAAAAGTTTACAATTAGGCTCCAGTGATGCTATAAGAAGTAAGACTCCTGATAGCACAAGACAAAAATCTGAACCAGAATCGAAGCACAAGTCAAGGAGGACAAAGGTTGTGGGAATGGGATCCCAGATAGTAGAGGAAGGAAGTAAACTGGATTCCAGGAAGACAGGGATACAAACAAGTAGATCAGGTGATGGTGATAATAAAGGCAGACAGAGGTAGAAGATCGACACCTCCGACAATTAGTTCTTACCAAAACCCAAGGCCATGCATAAAACCAACCTTTCTTAATATTCCATATATGAAAAAGCCAAATGGTGGAGGATTTAAAGTCAGTGGAGTTATGTATTGGCATATGGGATTGGGATTCAGTATTGCTAGTTGCTAAAAAAAATGAACATGTGATGGTTATTTTTCCATCTAAAACATGTTCAAACACATTAGTAGACTTTTCGTTTGTTTGATATAAATTTCATGGGAATGAACTAGTACCATACAAGATTATATGGTAATAGACATGACGTACTTTTAAAAAAGAAATAACTTTGTTCCCCATTACTTTTGTACGACCTAAATATGTTTGAAATTTGGTATTAAATTGTGTATCCTTTGTATTCCAATATAGCGGTATATATACAAGGATTTCAAATCTTAATGGGACTGATATCTACCAAATAAATATCAAGATAATTATAAATGTACATGTGTAGTTAGAGCGGGAGGTGGTTAAACGCTCAACCAAGCATTGATATCGAGGAAGTACTTACGTGGTAGACCTTTGGTGAATGTCTATATCTATATCTATCTATCTTCTATACTTATAAAGCTTGCATTTTTTCTTGAATGTCATGCATTTGAAACCCCCACAATAATTTGCTAAAGCCTCATGCATTTGAAACCCCCACACCTTTTCACCTTCTAAATAATTAATCACACATAATCAATGATAATTCATATGAGATAATGATAATCACATTAAAAATTTAAGCCACTCCACAATAATTTGCTAAAACCTCATGAAATAGAAACCCCTTTTTTTAACTTCCTCAAACCACATTCATTTGAAACCCCTTTTTTTTAACTAATGCAACTCAAAAGTTTTCTAAATTATGATTTAACACTCAAAAGTTTTATAACTTATATTATGTTTAATTAGCATTTAGTGAAAAGTTTACTATAAAAGGCCAATCTTTTGTGTCTTTTGTGTTATATAGAATCTTACATGTAAGAAGGATTTGAAGATATTGTGATTCAAAAGTTTTCATATAGTTGAAGCATTCACGATCCAAATATCATGATTTGAAGAAATGGGTTATGTCGCATCGATGGTAATTGTAATATGATTTTTTCTTTCAACCAAAACAAATGAAGCTTTTCTATTCTTTCTTTATATTCAGTTTTTCATTTAATCTTTATACGTGATTTGTGTGTATTACTTAATCTTGAATGTGACTCTTCAAACATCAATGTTTTGCTTGGAATATCTTTCTGATTCTTCTTTTTCAAGAAAAATATTTTGATTGCAGGTTAGTGAAGAATTGTCATCAAGTTTCTATGGTTGAATGGTGTTAAATGAAGAAAGAAGATTCATAAAATGGATATAGATTTTTTTGTTTGAGCAAAGTTGACGAATGTTAGTTTTTTCTTTTGATTTAAATGTATGTTTATGTAACATCTTTATTTATATATTCAACCACCAAATGCTCTTATTTATTTGATTGTAGTTTTTCTATTTTGATTATGTTTATTTTCTATTATTTTTTGTTGGGTTATCCTACACAACGTATTTAAAAGACAATATTTAAAAGATAACATAATTTTAAACATTTGATATGTAATTATGATAAACTTATCATGATATGTTCTTCATATGAAAGTAATTTATCCATATTACTACGACAAGAATTACATATGACATTTACGAATATATATATATATATATATATATATATATATATATATATATATATATATATATTATATGTGATTTGTTTAACATGTATATGCACCTATGTATGTTATAAATTTATAATTAAATATCTTTATGTTTAATAATTGAAGAGATTAAAATGATGCATCAAAACCAATTATTTAGACGAATATAATAATAATAATAATAATAATAATAATAATGATAATAATAATAATAATAATAATCATAATAATAATAATAATAATAATAATAATAATAATAATAATACATTTCCAAGTACCGCATTAATTTGAAACTCACACTACAACTCAAGAGTTTTCTAATTTATGTATATTTATTAGTTACAACTCAAGAGTTTTTAACTTATGATTATTAATTAGTAATCACTAATAACTTTTTATTTTCCTTTCTTTTATAAGGTTGTAAAGTTTTGCTCATTAAAAACATTAATGTATTTGAAGAGATTTGTGATTTAAATATGAAGAGTTAATATAAATATTATAATAGATGTTTTAGTGTTTTTATGTTATTAAAAGTTATAGTGTTTATTTTTCATATTTTATATTATTCGTTGTATATATATATATATATATATATATATATATATATATTTTTAATACAAATGTTATAATAGATGTTTTTCTATTTTTATGTTACTAAAAGCTGCAGTTCATATTTTTGTTTATACGTTTTGTTACCCGTTATATTATCATTCATTTGATATATAATTTACACAATTTTAAACGGTTTATAAAATTATCAAATAATTGTATATATCACAATGACTTAAAAATTAAACTATAATGTTTAAGAAAACTAATATGTTAACTATATGTTTGCTTTACTACTAACAATTTGTTTCAAAATAGAAATATTAAATAATAATTTGGTAAAAGTTATTATTTTAACTATATAATCATATTCTCGCGCATTTTTCCTTTCATCATATTCATTTGAAACTCTCATGCATTTTTCCGTTCACCACATTCATTTGAAACTCCCATGACTTTTCAATTTCTTCCTAATAATTGTTATAAGTTGGTTAATAAGATTAAATAAATATCAAACATAAAGTGTAATATATACAAACTAAATTTCAATATTAAAAGAATATTTTTACATTTACTTATAAAGTTATGTTTTTTTAACTTTTAACATATTATACTTAATTTATTAGTTTTAATATATTATTGGGTGTAAACCATTATCATTTTAAATCTATAAGTTTTGAACAGTTTGTATAAAATACTTAAATTATAAATATATATATAACATTACAGAATCAACTTAAATATAAATTTTAGTTTAACTTAAATAACCCAAATAATATTTTGTAAATAGTTAAAAGTGATAAATTATAGTGTCTTTCTAATAATGATTATAAGTTGGTTAATAAGGTTAAATTAATATCAAACCTAAAGTGTAATCATAAATAAACTAAATTTCAATATTAAAATAACATCTTTACTTCTACTTATAAAGTTATGTCTTTATTTTTTAACAGATTATACTTAATTTATTAAATTAAGATGTTGTTGTATGTAAACCATTATCAATTTAAAGCTACAACTTTTGAACAGTTTGGACAAAATACTTAAATTATTAATTTAAATATAACATTACAGTGTCAACTTAAAATATAAATTTTAGTTCCACTTAAAAAACTCAATGAATATTTTGTGAATAGTTAAAAGTAATAAATTGTAGTGCTAAATGCAAAAACTGAATTATAATCTCAATTTAACTAAAATATTTCCTAAAGATATTTGTATAATCGTTAAAAGTTTTCAAATAAGTAGCTTAAAATAACTTACAATAACAATAGTTAAATATAATTCTATATAAATGATTATATTGTTACCTTTAAAATCAAAAAACAATGTTTGATGTTTTAAATAATTATAATGATAGAAATTAAAACATTAAACAAATAAATTTTAAAAAATTAATTAATAATAACAACAACTATAAATAACATTAAACCGTATATTATATTTAATTTTATTCATTAGTAACTCGCGGATAGAAGTCATTCAAACGGTTGAGATTATGCAATTATAATAGATGTATATATTATCATATAATTCAAAATAATCAATATATTATATCAATTTAGTATACAAATTATTATATCAAATTTAACAACAACGTTATTGTTATATTTAAAAAAACATATATTTGTAAAGATTTCAATTATATACGTGTTTTTGCGCAACGCGCGGGCGTTCGCCTAGTGTTAATATATTGGTAGGAGGAAGGAATGTGGTGCATGCATACCAATGGTGGAGACAAACCTAAAGGTAATAGGGGTCCATTTTATTAATTAATATAATAAAAATTAAAATTAAACTAACCTATTAAAACTTATCATGTGAATGACAAAGAAAGAAGGGTGAATTTGGGTAGAAAGAAAAAGGAAAGAGCTAAGAAAGCCTAACTACCGGGTGTCAAAAATACAAAACCCTCTAATTAAAAAAATAAGGTGTGTATATATGCTTGAACCAATTTTCAAGTGGGTGCATGGAACTCCTATTTATACACTGTCTCTGCCACTGGCGCATACGAACCTGCCTCCGCCACTGGCGCATACGAACCTGACTGAAAGCAACTTTTTCTCGAACAAAATGGATGTTCATCACATTATGTTTTGTTTGTTGATGTTAGATGGGGTTGCCTGATAGATAAACAGATAACGACGTACAAATTGTTGTAATAAACAAGAGTGGCCTAGCATAGAGGGTAGTGGAGTTTGGGAAGGGTACGAGGCCAACACATTTTCACAGTGATGTTTGCAATGTTGTAATATTCTACGTTAGCACTCAAGTGGGAGAGATTATATTGTCGTTTGGTATATCAATAAACAAGATTGTCTCCCCAAAAAGATACAACATAACAGAGGAGGTCGATTTTATGGTATCATGGCATCCGCCCCGATTGACAATTGTATAAGAAATGGCATAAGTATGAGGTTATGGGTATAAATGGAGTTTGTAGTGGATTGTACATTTAAGGTATATAATGATGTATTTTACGGTGGTACAGTGTGATAGTTCATTGAGAGAATGCATGAACAAACATATTTGTTGATGAGTATATACAATTTCTGGTTGACTATAGTCCCCCAACTAAACTTGATGGAGAGAAGCATTTTTGAAAAGAGGTCTTGGTTTATTTGCATTGATATATGAACATGTTATTTGGAATTGTCAGCGGCTAAGATGCCAAAAGATAGCTTAAAGGACCCTAAATCTGTAATCTCAAATTCTAATTTCGGAGTGTATTCGTCTTGAGTGTGCTTGAGGAAGCAATGATGTGATATTGTCGTGTCCAATAACATATATGTGGTTTCATTACAATGTTGATAAACAAATGGAGAATTGTCATTTTTTTGTATTTGATATTCAAGAGATAATTTTCAAACCATTAG